CACAGTGTTAGTGTTATCCCGCATCATCTGCGGCGGGGTTTCGCAGGCGTTCACGCGGTGAGGATGTTTCAGGGGTTGTGTAAAAAGTGACGCTTTATCTAAAAATGTTAAAAAGATCAGATTATACAGTACCCACTGGGAAATTAAATGTTAAAGAAACAAATCGAAGGAGAAACTGAATGACCTCACTGTTCATTTGAGTTTTGTTGTTTGCAATCATTTTGCTCTTTTTCTTCTATAACGCTTGGCTTTAAAAGCAAACTATTGACCTGTGATAACTCGTCACTAGCCCATATGCTAATAGCACTGCAAGTACTCATACAGTACTCGGAAACAAACCATACAATATCGATTATTTTTAAGGCAATTTTTTTTTTTATACCGATATTGATACTTGCTGACAAATACTGGCCATTTAACAACTTCAACATGCAATTTTTATAACACCTTAGACATAACCAATCACATTAGTCTATTTCTATACACTGAACACTGAAATTAAAATCCTTGGCCGAAAATGAGAAACCCAAGGCCGACAACTGAAACGCCGAAAGAAATTATTAGGCCAATTATTAGCACCGTAGCATTTATGGCTACGACTGTGAACTAAACCTCAATAAAATCAAGGCACTGCAATCGCATTTACTAATAATAAATTAACAATTGTCAATAATATTTTTTTAAATTAATTTTATACTTTGTTTCTTTTTGGCTTAAGGGTAGGAAAATAAAACCAGGTACAAGCATTCTCCTGCTGCCGGAGCCCTGTTAGACCGTCAGCAAAAAGTCGTTGCTATATTCCAGACGAGGCAGACACAACTATACGTATGATTTAAGATTATTATTTAATCCAATCACAACGTCCAAACAATGCATCGGAATAGTCTTTGCTCGTTCGTGCCTGCCAAGCCTGCAAGCGGGGGGGCATTGATTTGTTTTGTCATTTTTACATGTAATGGTTTACATTAGTGCCATAATTTGCCCTTGGAATTCATTTTGATGGACGTGCTAAAAGCATGTCATGGCTAAATTGTGGAAACCCGCTGAGTTATTGTGGCAGAGGGCATCAAATTCAGACGACCGCACCTCTCTTCCCCCCCCCACCCCCACGCCGGCCCCCCTTTTAACTGCTGTCAAATAAATGAAACCAAACACATCAAGGAACCTTGAGGAGAAACATTCACCGTATGTGAAGAAAATGGCCAAAACACGGAGGACAGACGAAGAGAATGCGGGAAATGACCACGATGGGGCCTACAACTCATCGCCTCCTCTAAATGAATTCAAACTGAAGGTTTAAACAAACACAGACTGCCGCAGAGGGCGCCATTTAGTATGTGCTTACAACTCGCAAGGGGATAGGGATATGTGCTTCCTCTGGGAATTGAACCCCGAACGACTCCCTGCTCTGTACATGCAAGGCAGGCATGCTAACCGCTACATTATGGAACCACACAATAAGGCTGGACGATGGTCAACCTTCCGAGGAAAAGGAGAGTACACAAAAAAGGTGAACGGATTTCAGAGTGGATTTGCGACAGAAGAACAGCAACAACGTTTTAATTGAAGATTGGTAAGACAGCAGTGAGATCTGCTATGATGTGTCGGCAACGGTAAGCGAACGGATGGTAGAACTTTTGGACAGACAGTGGACGTCATTCCGCCCACGTGTTCAAACCGCTTAAGATTTCGAATCGTCCCGAAGCTTCTCAAATGAATTAGCACGATTAGCACGTTAATGTCAAACGCCCTAAT